ATATATTATAAAAAATAAAACAAGTTAAATCCAGGAAATTTGCCATGGATATTGTCATCTAAGAAAGGAATTCTAAAATTAATTCTAAGTTAATTGCATTTTAAACTGAATAAATAACAAAGGCTCCTTTGTCATGGATAGCAATGATCAACAAAGAGTATACATTGTGCATGACTCAGCCTTAACATTCTCGATTTAATGGGACATTCAATTCAAAGATAGTACTTCATTTGAACACATGGTGTTTCCCTTGCTCAATATTCCTGGAGCTAATACCATGACTGTAATAATCATGGTATATACTGAGTTCAAAGGTCATTGTCAGGTCAAACCAGAAGAAATATAAGAGCATTTTGGTCCATTAAGGAATGCTAGTGGTATAGTGTTTAAATGTTCTGATGTTAACAGCAGTTTGGCATTTGGAGCACACCAGTGTTCTGCAGAAGAAAGATGCAGCACTTAAACTTTACAGCTTTGGAAACCTTTGGGGCAATTCTACTATAACTAGGATAGTAGCTGTGCATTGGGATTGACTAGATAATAACAAGTTTGGGTTTGATGCTCAGTTATGTGACAAAACACTAGCTTTGTTGAACACATTCCTAAAAATCTATTATCATCAATTTGGAAAAACCTTTAGTCGCTCTAAAGCAGTGGTTCTCAACCTTCCTAATGCCTGGACCCTTTAATACAGTTCTTCATGCTGTGGTGACCCCCCAACCATAAAATTATGCTCATTGCTACTTCATCACTGTGATTTTGCTACTGTTATGAATCAGGTGACCCCTGTGAAAGGGTCATTCGACCCCCAAAGGGGTCGCGACCCAGAGTTTGGGAGCCACTACTCTATGGAGTCTCTGGAGGGTTTGCAATCTTATTAGAATGTCAGCATTTCACCAGAAAAAGGGAAAGTGCAAAAGACCTTCAAGTAATAATTTGTGCCAGCCGTTTCCAGTAGAACTAAGGATTATTATTATAATGTGTTTGAAGAGTCATTAATTATATGTGTATTAAGTGCTTCTTTTCCAATGTAAGTGCCCAAATGTTTTCATAGATCTTTTGAGGACCTTGAAAAATAGTGAGGTTCAAAGAAATTGCTGTGTAATTGAATACTTACTGTGTCATTAAGCTGATGCCAACTCACAGTGACCTACAGGACAGGGTAGAACTGCCCAACTCACAGTGACCCTACAGGGAAGGGTAGAACTGCCCAACTCACAGTGACCCTACAGGGCAGGGTAGAACTGCCCCTGTGGGTTTTTGAGAGTATATCTTCATGGGAGCAGAAAACGCTTTCTCCTGAAGAGCAGCTGATAGCTTCAAACTGCTGACCTTACAGTTAGCAGCCCAATGCACAACCACTGCACCACCAGGGTTCCTTTTTCTTAATATCATCCCATGCAAAATATAATCAAATAACTTTGGGTTATGCAGCAATGTAAAAAAATTTCAAATGCAAAGTACTTATCACATTTTAATTCTGTGCTTACTCATCTATCTTCTGTATGAGACAATAGACCCTTCAAAACAGGACTTCATTGGTTCATTTTACAGGTGTTTACAAAACATCTACTATGTGCAAGAATGCACCTATGCACTGGGTATCTAGCATTAAGCAAAAGCAGACAGGGTTGCTGCCATCAAAAACAAAGTTTAGTGTTAGAGAAATCCAAAAATGGAGTAAATCACATCATCAGTAAGAGGAAGAAACGGTACATGAATCAAAAAGAATATTGAGTTAGTTAATTGTGCCAGCCTGGCCGGTAATCACATGTGGGGCTAATTGAAAGGCTGAGGGATAAATGGTGGTGAGCCTCGCCTTTCTAGTTCTTGGGTCTCTTGTTTTGTGATGGTTGCACCGGGTGCAGCTGCGTTAGCAGTTCCCTGCTTCAGCTTGCAAGGTTGACTTCCTACAAGACATCCCCAAGGAGAAGCTACATGGACCTATCCCAATGCAGCCCTGGGTGCTGGAGCAGCCATGTGGAGACCCCTGATAATGCTGAGATGCTTGTTCGTTCACTGACTCAGCTTTCCTCCTGCAGTCGGCATCATTGCCTCTGTTTTGTGAGGTGGAGGACTTTGTGGATTGGTGTTGGGTTAATGGGTTGGACTTGTGGGCTTGGTCAGCATTGGGTTGGGATGTTTTCGTGATGCACATTTTCTTTACATAAAACTCTCTCTTATACATGAGTTGCTGTGGATTTGTTTCTCCAAAGTACCTAGACTAATACAAATATGATTATAGGGCTATCATTGTGGATGTCAGGAACATTTCCCTAAATTTCATATTTGAATGGAAATCTGAAAGATGAGTTTATTCCCTTATAGGTGTGGTGGTTAGGGAGGAACATATTATGTATGGGGCTCTCATCCCAGGCAAGCACAAAGAAAGATCCGGAGAGTGAGAGAACTCATTCAAGAGCCCGAGAGAAGGCCAGAGAAACAGAAATAGAGAGCAAGAATGAACATTCTGGGACTGAGAATGGAGGGTCACATAGACAGTAAACTGTGAAACAGCATGTCTTCATGTTAAGAAGTCTAACCTTTACTATCAAATAAGTGGAAAGTCATTGAAGGGGTAGGAATATGAGGTGTCAGGCTGGTGATTGGGGAGATAAGACTGTTGTGGAACACAGATTAGAAAGGCAAGAGAGTCAAGAGGATTGTCAGGTTGTCATTTGTCTTAGGTGATAGCAATGGAGAAGTAGAGAAATAATTTTTCTATCCCCATAGTCTGACAGGATGCAACCCACATTGCAGACATACATAAATGTTCATTGATTTAAATTTTAAGAATGAGTGCCGTCAGTCATTAGATGTATTTGAAATGAAAAGAAACAAAGCCCAGACATCCTGTTATGGACACACTTGTGCCTCCATCCTTCCTGTCCATTGGAAAATGGTCTATCAGAATTTTAGTTACGAGATTCCACTTCATCTAAATGCAACTGCAAGCTTTAAATAGTATGTTAACAGGAGAGCTTGCATATATTCTTTGAAATTAATTAGCAGAATTTCTAGTTTATAAAAGTGTATGGTGATAGCAATATAACATTAAAGCATTATTTCTTTAGTAATAAAATGGGTCCTTGAAATGATAGAGAGGATCCTTATTACTTGTCTGCCTTCTTAGGTCCTATTTAATCCTAGACAAATTTCCAGAAAATAGTGGATCAAGGTATAATCACTAGAAAACTTTTCAGAATTCAAATACTGAACGACTGCCATCTAGTCATTTCTAACACATAGAAACACTACATATAGAGTTTGTGAGGCTGTAAATCTTTAAGGGAGCAGATAGTTTTCTCTGACTGAGCAACTGGTGGTTTTGAACCACTGGCCTTTACAATATTTGCATTTGAAATACAGTATTTAATCAATAGTGAAACACCAACCTTTTGTTTTTGTTTTTGTTTTTTAATTGGGAGTTAATACATATATCATACCATTCCATAGTTCAATTACTTTAATCAGTATTGTAGAATTGCTACCACAATCAGTTCCCAAGCATTCTGTTCCTTTCTGGACTCCTTGGCACCAGTTCCCTTTTAGCATTCCCTCCAACACCAACAATCTCGGAACGTGCTATTTTTTTCACATAATATTTTAATTCCTGCTCTGCAGCAATACAATTTTAGGAACCTTACCTTTTTTCTATATTAGATAAAATTAATGAAATACCCCAAACACATATATGTGATATGTAAACACTATTTATTCATCAGGTTTTTAATCCTTAGGTCATAGTCTGTGTTTCAAAGTATAGAGAATCTATAAAGTAGAAAAAAAGATATACCCAAATGTAAAAGTCAAAGCTGGGGAAGTCCTCACTTCCTATACAAGCACTGTATCTCAGCTGTTCGCAGGGTTTGGAGATGCAGCTCTACTGAGGCAACAGACTGAAGCACACATTCCATCACGTATCAGACTCTGACCCACAATTACCGTTGCAAGGACAAAGATTTTTCTTCTTTAATGTTTTCTTCCTGTTTCTAATCTCACCTTCCTGACACATAAACGTTCTGCTGATACTTTCCTCATTAATTTTTAAATAACTAAAACATCAATGTTAAAGCTTGGGAAACATAAAATATAACTTTTCATTACTAAATTTCAGAGTATCAACTCCTGGATGCAATAATGCCAGACACCATTCAGATCACTAATTATATTCAAAGAATATCATTCTCAATCGATGCAATGTTGTAAAGTTGCTTGCAGATACAACAGTTTTTCACTGTGGCTGTTGTAAAAAAGCCATTTCTTTTTCAATCTTTAGCATATTCTGTAAATGATGTTAAGTTCACAGCATCTTTACCAACACAATACTTAATTTGCAATGGAAATTTTCTCAATACTATCTCAAAATCCAGAGAATAAAAGGATAAAATTTGCTTTGGTTTTTTATAGAAGCCGCTACAGGAAAATGTATAGTTGCTATGTACCAATAAATCTCCACAGCAGGGAAAAGTATGTAGAAGGGATTAACTGTTATTTGGGTGTCCAGGTATATGAGCCTTGGCTATAGGGTTTGTCAGAAACTAAGACTTACTCTGGGGTGAGTGATACTAGAAAAGTCATTCTTGCCTACTTCTCTACCATGGGGCTTCAATGTCTGAAATATGGCAAAGATGCACCTCTGTGGTCAAGGTCATTACAAGCACATGGGTAGTTTAACAAATTCCTTTATCATCATCTACTCTGTCAGAGATAATCCAACATAAACTGAATGGGCTAGTTTTGATTCTGAAATACGGCACAGCTGCTATTGTCATTCATTTGTTGTTTAAATCTACCCCTTTTGATTTCAAATTTTGCTTGACACTAATTTTAAAAGGGTTATAGTCCTCAATTGCACCAAAGATATTTGGTCTATGACAACCATGCATGTAGCCATGCAACCGTGCATTCATGCAACAAAACCACATACAACACAGTGCAAAAATGGCAAAGAAAACCAGGTGAGGGCCATGCTATTATTTTTTCAAGGGTCTCCTTACCAAATAGTGAAATCCTATGCCTGACAAGAACTCCAAGTTTGCAGAATAGGCTGAAGACAAAAGAAAAACAAAAGAGAAAAGGGAAGGGGATGGGGAGGTAGAAAAGACAGGGAGAAATTAAAAACAACAAGAAGAAAACAGAAAAATAAACAGCTGATATATGAGCCAGAAAAAAGCAACATGATGTCACACAGGAAGAATCAATTCTCTTAGCAGAATGTGGAGTAAAGATTTTAAAGAAAGAGTCTTTGAATGCATATCTTTGACATATATGGTTTAAAAAGCACATATTATAAGAAACCAAAAGGAAAAATAAAGCAAAGCTAACTAATATAAAAGCAACCTCTAAGAAATCCACTTAGAAACCACAGGGGAAAAAATGAATTTTATCCACCCAGATATATCACTGAAATTCTTGAACTAAAAAGTAATTTTGGACATTATTTGCCAGCAAATGTATGGTGCTTTAGTCATTAAATGCTACTTTACTTTCCTGTATATTGAATCGTTTGAACTTTCCTTTCCAATCTTGATTGTAACCATGACACACATACAAAGACACCGAATCACTGAATTTGAAAGTAGTGACATAGAAACAGAACTTGCACTGATAATCACACAATTTAAACCTTACAAATGTAACAGACTTTTAATGCTCACGAGTGGCATGTACTTGAATTTCTGATCTTCAGAGCAGGTTCCTGGTTCATGTACCATGGTGGTAGCTCTCAAAGATGGTACTGAGTATAGGTGCCTTCGTCTAGTAAATGCATGGCAGCACTGATTCCCACTCACTCTCAGATACAACACCAGGGCCTTGCTAGTCTATCTCTTCATTAAATCTAAGTCCCACAAGTTCCTTGATACTGTCTACTCAAAAATACCTTTCATTCATTTTCACCCTACACTGCCTTTTACCCATCTCAGGATTCAGTTCAAAGTTTGTTCTGGGAAGCTTTAACTAACACACAGTTCCCCTCGCCATTCACATCCCAAGCTAAAAGGGAGTCCATCCCTACTGTCCCCACATGCCATTTCATATTTTTCCATGATACTTAACTCCCCATGTTATAACTGACATGATCTTCACATCTACCCACACCAGCTGGAGCTCACATAGCACACGCTGAATTGCTTGCACTTACCAAAGCCTATCACTGACCATCCATTTGTAGAGCCCTGCACAAGCTCAGTTTGGTTTTCTCAATAACAATGAACGCTGTGGCTGCCCTGCCTTGTTCTGATTAAGCCCTCCCATAACCAGCAGAGCTCCTCAGGGTTAGGGACACTAGCACATGAGCCATGGCAGGATGGGAGGAAAAGAGATAGAAAGTCACACTAAAGATATTTACCTCTTTTGCAGCAACATTTAGTCATAATCCCCCACTTTAGTAACAATGCGGGATAAATTATCACTGAAAATTAATAACATACGACCTTTAGTAGCTTTACCAAGAAAAACATCTCCCTCATATATTCAAATGTCCAGAACCAATGTTTTGTTTTGAAACTACTCAAGTAGCTATTGGATATAAAATAGATACTAGACCTGTTAATTGCTTAATTTTAAGAACAAAACAACAACAACAACAAAACAAATTATGAGTAACTATCTTGAAGTGATTTCATCAATGGAGCTTTGTGGCTGATGATTCCTGGGAATGCTAACTCAACACGGATCTGTCTCCTAACAGAGTGATGATGTCTTCAGATGTCATATTCGGATTCCTGGATTCCAATTTTTTAAATGATATTTTAGCTGTTACTTATTCTCTTTGGCACCCAAGGAAAACATCCCAAGATCCCTGGGAATTTTTTGTGATATTAAATTCATAAACTTAGGGTTAGTTTATAACCCAATTATTTCAGACCTAAGATGTTCTGGTACAATGAAGATCAGACTTGCCTTTATCTTAATCTTCCTTAAAGGTAAAAATGACTTCACAATCTCAACTGCTTCCTAAGCACCTCAGTAACAGAAATACCACCAGAGTGGCACAGGAGAAACAGATACATAAGGATAAAGGAATAACAATGACTGAAAAATCCAAAACACTTCCATTGAATCAATTCTGACACATAGTGAACCTATAAGACAGCGGTGGGGAACATCAGGCCCACAGGCTATCTGAAGCCCTCCAAATCATCCACACTAGCTAACACCCCATGCCAATCCAAAGAGAAGCCATTCCAGCCATCACATTCAGGGTGAGTTAAGTATGACCACATATAGCAGGCTAGTTTGTATGGATCATAAATGATGCTATAAATATCCAAATGGCTCCCTAACAGGATAAAAGGTTTCCCCACCCTGCTGACAGACAGCCCTTCTCTTTGGGTTTCTGAGGCAATTTCACGTTTAAGGGAACAGACAGCCTCATATTTCTCTTGAGTAATTGGTTGGTTTGAACTACCTGCTTTTGGTTAGCAGTCCCATACTTACCGCAGTGCCTGATAAAAAAGACAAATTTTATCTTTATCTTCCTGTGTCATCTATTTTCTGGGCAGTTACTGTAGAGACTACATGGTTCGTTATGAAGCTCTGGTCTTAAATTTCTCTAAAAATCTCCCTTAATCAACCTTAATTATTAATAAACAATGCTATTGTATAGTATTGTTCCCTTCTCTACCAACATGGTTGAGAATGTGCAATGCAGCCACATTTTCTCAGCTTTTACTCAATGCTCCATTCAAACACTTCTCTGAAATTCACCACTGACTTCCACTCAACAAATATAAGAACCTCTTGTTCAGTTTACTTCTCAGAACGCTCTCTATGGTACACAGCATGGCTGATTACTTAATTTTTAAAAACCATGCACTACCTTTGGATTCTCGATTCTGTTTTAAGTAATTTTCTCTTGCTCTCATGCCTCATCCTTCAATAGGTAATTAAAGTTTACCTCTTCTTCTCCAAAGGAGTTCTGATAATTATTGTTTTCTTTAGAGGCAGCAACATCATGCTGAGGCTCAAAGGGTGCTTGAAACTACAGCACCACAGAGAATTCCTTTCTACTTGCCATATTTGCTCATGGTCAACTGCGGTTTCTCTTTTCAATCTCCCTGTGTCCCACTCTTCTCTTCATATATCCTCTACTATCTCAGAATTTCTTATAGGACTCTATTTTACATTCATCATAATTTATTACCTATGTGCATAAATTATTATCTGCATCCATCTGTCTACTCTGATGTACTTCTCAGTTCAGTAAAGCTTGGAACTGTGTGGTGTGTGTGTGTATGTACTTGTGTTCATTCTCCAAAGACACAGCAGGTGCTCAAAATGATTTCTTGAATAAATCAGTGAGCGGCAACAGATTTGAGCCAGTTCAGCTTTTGCAGTCACCTTTATTGCAGTGATAACTGCTTGTCTCCCCAGCTTTCCCACTCTGCTCAATGCTATTTCTGCCAGAACTCTTCCCAAAGCTCAGTTCTCACCTTTCTCCTACTTTCAACACTTCAGTGGTTTTAAAGGTAAGGGAGGAAATAAGGGAAGGAAGGAAAAGGAAGGGAAAAGTTTTGTTTTGTTTTAAAGGAAAGAAATCATACCTTATGCTGGCAGTTTCTGCTAAATCATTAGTGACTGCACATTATGCTACCTACATTTAGGAAAACAGTAGCCTCCCTCAGTATCTGATCTTCGTACCCTTCAAGGTCAATTTTTAAAGCCACGACTTTCACAATCACCCAATGTGGTCACATTTCGTTTTGAAGACCACAGCCTCTCTTAGTGGACTACTAATGAAACTACATTCATCGTCACAAACTTGTTCTTGCCAGGCACAGTCTTGGAGTGCAAGGACCAACTCCTACTCTTCATTGCAGACAGTAATGCTTACGTTATACACAGTAAACAATAAATCATTGCTAGTGCCACAGAATAAGCGTCTAAATATCTAATGAAGCAGAATGCTTTTAGTTGTAGAGAAATTAACTAAAGCACACACAACCACTGTTGTTCATAATGGTCAGTGTTTTAAAGTGTTCCTGTGAATTAAAACTACCATTGCAGTGTTTCTCTTGTGTATGCAGGTAATTTTACTTTATTTGGTAGAGTAGGGCCAGTTTTACTTATTTTAGCCCAAAACAATATAGTGCTTCAGATTCACCGAAGTTGTAATATTTCACTGAAATGGCAAGGAATCAACATTTATAAATAATCATTTATACATAAATATATGTATCTATTATATATACACAAACACACATACATACGTACATATACAATCATAGTGATTTCAGTGATCCTAATGCAACACATCAGAGAAAACATTTGGTTGTTTTGTTGTTGTTGTTGTGTGTGTGTGTATGTGTTGGTTATTTTGAAAACACAGTCTAGATAATTATAAAAGATGTTTTTATTTTAAAAACTCACAAAATACACTAAAAATAAAGAATATAATCTACAATAGAGTACCCAAATTACTAAAATTAAAATAATCCCCTACCAGTAATATACTATGGCTTCAGATTTATAGCTTTAAAAAATTTGAAATACTATTTTAACATATAGTTATGTTCTTCTTTATGATTTTGTAAGTCACTACATATATGTGTACATCATAATTTTAATGGCTGAACAGAAGTTTGCGTATACATGTACCATCATTTTTTTATCCATTGCCTTAATATTTTTTTTACATCCTTGAATTCTTCTCTGAAGTTAAATTCTATTAAGTTAATTTGGAACTTAAACTTGTGACAACTTATTTTTATTATTCTCCATCTCCTATGTGCTGAAATTTTAAATGATGTGTGTTACTTTTTTTAAAGGTTAAAAATGGTAGAAGCCAAAGTTATCATGTCCCTTTGAATGATGTGAAGAAAATCTGTAGAGGAAATCATTTTTAAATGGTGGCTGAAGTTCTGCTACAGGCGACCCAGGGCACATTAGCCAAAGCTAGCATAAAGTATAATGCTCCTCAGGTTTATTCTAGGAAGGATAAAGTCAGTCAGTAATGAAAAAGAAAATAATTTTGTGATCACTGAGTAGGCGTTAGGTAAATATGAAAACAGAGTATAAATAATAAAACACAAAACAAGAGAAAAGGGAAAGAAAAACAACGTTTTATTTTCATTTTTCCTTATTTTATCTTAATTATTTTTTTTGTTTATGTATTCATGACATCTAAATTAACCAAGTATCTTGGAACAAAGCTTCTGTTAGAAAAAGTCAACTGGACAAGGGGGTGTAAGAAGTCTTTCCAGAGTCCCCAGTTCCAAAGGTCTGATGGGAACCAGTTCATGGTGCTTCCCAGACCATTGTGTGCACACCAGAGCTCACAGGGAAGACCTGGGCGGGGCGGCGTGTGTGAGTGTAGTGGAGAAAGGCAGGTTCTCTTCGGGACGGAACATCCACCAAAGAGTATGAAGGAAGGAGCACGTTTTTTGAAAGCAACAAAATATCTACTTCAGGTAATACAGTCTGAGATAACAAAGTGTCACCCTGGAATTTGACATTAAAATATTACTATTATTAATCATTTTTATTAATACCTTATAAAATTATTATTTGAAGTTGTGAAACATTTTTAATATTGTTACAAATTCTAGAAAACTTGACTGGCCACCTACCAGATGGTAGCAAAATATACAACAAATTAGAGGAAAAGGAAATGTTTAGGACTCACTTCTAGTCCACATCCCTAATGTTATACATCCATAAGTGGTATTTCTCCTCCATCATTTTGAAAATAAGCTTCCATCCCCTGCCTCTCTGCTGTAATGGTTAATATAGCACTTCCATTCCTTGATTATAGGCACGCTATTAAGGTGAAGCCCAGAAAAAGCTCGGATTTTTGCAGAAATGACAAGTCAAAACAAAAATCATTAAAAGGAGCATTTATTAAAAATACTAATAGACTCATGTATCTATAGCCTCTACTTGTGGATTTTACGAGTTCTGGATATTTTTCTATTGATCCTATTCAGCATTCTATTTATCAGCTAAATAAGGAAACTCAGCATCTAGAAGGCATACATCAGCTTTTTAAAACTGCCCACCTTGCAGTGCCTGATTCCAAGTAGGCAGGAAGCAGGGCAGGTGGGTAGAACACACTTTTCGCACTCTCACTTCAAAGTCCCGAGTCTCTTTCACAAATTCACAAACGCTTAATTCAGACAACTTCTTTATGCTTATTGTTTTTTACCTTGTGACCATTTCCTTCTCTTTGTTTGATGCATGTCCTCCAGAACACAGAGGCCTGCTTGCTGCAGATAAGAAGTACAAGCGGTGATTTTTGAAATACTGGTCAATTAAAGGAAGCACGACCTGAAAGAATGGAAAGGAAAACAAGTCAACACAGTGGAATTTGCTAAGGGCTGAATGAATGCCATGGTCTCCCAATACCCATAGTCATGAATTTTAGAGCATTTCAGGCTAAATGTGATTTCAATCTCACTCCACCATCATCAGTGTTGTGTGTGTGTGTGTGTGTGTGTGCGTGCGTGCATGCGTGCGTGTGTGTGTGTGTGTGTGTGTGTGTGTGACATAATAAGGAGCAAATAAAATATCCAATGAGTTGGAAAAATAATTTTGATTATTTTCATATGGTTGTTCAGTTCTTACCAGGCTCAAAGATAATGATTACCGGTTTTTGAGTCTCTACTACGGCTGCGGCATTATTGTTCAAACTGAATGACTGAAAGTTATTTAATTTATCCTAGTAAATACTTTGTATGGTAGGTGTCATAGCACCTGGTTTATAGGTATTGAATTGGAGATACAGAAAGGGAGCGACTCACAGTCACATTGCTAGGTGCCTGCCTACACACAGTTCTTATTATCTGGTCTCTTTCAATATCTGCTTACCATTTCTGCATGGTAACCTGGGTAATTTTTGTCTACGCCATCTCTTCACTCTGTTCACCTACACCAAAGGCTTTGCACATGCAATTCTCACAGTTTGAAATTAACTCTACTCTATCAGATGTCAACCCAGTTCAACTTTCAGATAAGCCTTTGTAGATCTTTGTTGGTGTGTGCTACCTAACCCATAATCCACTTCATAGTGACCATAGATGCTAGAGTAAAACTGCCATAGGGTAATCTTTAAGAGAGCCATCTGCTACACCTTTCTCCTAAGGTGTGGCTGGTGGGTTGGAATCCTCCACTGTTCAGTTAATAGTTAAGTACTTTAACCATGGCACCATCAGGAATAAATAAAACCAAGGCATTTCTCTGTTCCCATAATACCATGTGAAATTCTTCATTTTATATGTGGAATTTTAGACTAAATTTTTCTCTCAAAAGTCCATGAAAGCAAGAGTCACTCCAGGCTTTGTTTCCAGTTATTGCTCATGCCTGGCCTCTGTGACCACTATTTAGACTGTTTTGTTTACTATAGCAACCACAAGATAAATATTGTTAAAAGGTTAAATGAAAAATGTAATGAAAAGAATAATAAGAATTGACATTACTGATAACCACACTCATTTGTTTATTACACATTTTCCCCAACCATGTAAGGTATCAAATTAATATACACTAATCTTATAGTCAGAAAAAAAACCACGTTTTTACTCATCTTCCTTGAAGCTTTCACACTGCCTACACTTAGTAATTAGCACATAGTAGGTACTTAGTAAATCTGCTGAGTGAATGTGCCATACATCAACAAAACTGCATGAGGTATTACAACAATACTCACTAGGGGTACTGAGTATGCAGACAATACAATATGGGGAATTCATTTGAAGGGTAAATCATTAGCAGTCATGTATCAAGAATTGTTGATAACTCACTCACAGGGAAGATTACATGCTACTAGGCACTGTATATCTACGGAAAAACAGGTAATTGCCAATTTTCAGCCCAGGACAAATTTCAGATCATTGGTATAGAATTCAAATACTGACTGGAAATAAAAAGACACAAAACAAACTTCCCTTACCATAAAGCTAACCATTCTTAAAATGGAAAAACCAAATATATTCAATAAAATTAGGCTGTTATTTAGAAAAACCAAATATACTCAATGAAATTAGAATGTTATTTTAAAGTCCATGAAAATGTTACTATTATCTAAAATAGTGTTGCCTAATAAAAAAGCAGTGAAAGGAAACTGATAGCAAGCACTATATCTCAAAGTTAACTACAAAGTTATTATACACAGGAAACCTTCTCCAAGGCCACTGGTTGTCCCGACAGTGTCCATGATTCCTGTGTTCAACAGAAAGCCCCAGAATTTGGCTGGGACACTCAGTGACTTTTGCTCAGTAGATAGTAGAAAAGCTCAACTTTTAGTTCTTCACATCCATTCCTTATTAGCTCAGGAATGACTCCATCCATAGCACAAATTATTGCCACGTTTAATGAGCAACAACAATGAAATATACTTTCCTGCCTTGAAATATTCACTTGTAATGAAGTTCATATTTGTAGGTAAATATATTCTCAAAGGAGGCAATGGTCTAAAGAATATAATTTTCTAAACAAACATTCTGAAGCAAAAACAAGATTGAATTGTATACTGTACTTTAGCAAAGAACTTGATTTCTTGTTCATAAGGGAAATGTTCTCCTTTGCTTCTACTGCCACCATCTGTATAGATGAAGAAAGTTTAGATATATATTTCCACATCAAACATTATACGATATTCACCTGAACTACAAAGTCTAAAATGCATTGTGAAAGGTGTTATACACTGAAACAAAAGCTAAAATTCAACCAAAAGTATAAAGGCTAAATTTGGCAATAAAATTTTAAAAACGAATTTTAAAAGCACAATTGAGTTACAGCCAATACATGTGGTTATGTGCACAAACACAATTTTGTACCTCTGAGCCTTTTTATTAATATGAAAAGGGTAAATTGGAATAAATGTAAGTGAAAAAAAATTGTCAGCAGATTTTAATGTGATTGTCACCAGGACAAGAGAGCTGAGTAATCAAATTAGTTAGATTTATTTTCCTTGAATTTTATATATGACAAAATGTTTCATATTTACCATTTGATGTGTATACTTCAGTGACATGAATTACGTTAATCATGTTTTAAAACTATCACCACTATCTGTTTCCAAATACCCTAGAGATTTCCTCTTTACCTTCCCAGTTATCCACTGCTGGAAACCATAGATAAATCATAGTCTTCATATATTTTCCTAGTCTAGATATTTCATATAAATGAAATCATACAGTATTTGTTCTGTTTTTAAAATTGTTTTATTAGGGGCTCATATCACAATCCATACATACATCAATTGGGTAAAGCGCATTTGTACATTCATTGCCCTCATCATTCTCAAAACATTTCCTCTCCACTTAAACCCCCGGCATGAGGTCCTCATTTTCCCCACTCCCTCCCCACTCCCCCCCTCCCTCATGAACCCTTGATAATTTATAAATTATTATTTTGTCATATCTTGCCCTGTCCGACGTCTCCCTTCACCCACTTTTCTGTTGTCCGTCCCCCAGGGAGGAGGTCACATATAGGTCCTTGTAATCGGTTCCCTCTTTCCAACCCACTCTCCCTCTACCCTCCCAGTATCGTCACTCACACCACTGGTCCTGAAGGGATCATCCGCCCTGGATTCCCTGGATTTCCAGTTCCTCTCTGTACCAGTGTACATCCTCTGGTCTAGCCAGACTTGCAAGGTCGAATTCGTGTCATGATAGTGGGGGCGGGGAGGAAGCATTTAGGAACTACAGGAAAGTTGTATTTTTCATTGTTGCTACATCGCACCCTGAATGGCTCATCTCCTCTCCGTGACACCTCTGCAAGGGGATCTCCAGTGGCCTACTAATGGGCTTTGCGTCTCCACTCCACACTCCCCCCATCATTCACTATGGTAAGATTTCTTTTATGAGAAATTAAGTTCACTCGACATGATGCTGTAAGTTTCATCTATACTACAGTATGTATGACAGCTTCATTTCTCTATGGATAAATATTTCCTTGTATGTATGTACTGCATCTTGTTGATTCACTAACCTGTTGATGAATACCTGGGATGCTTCCACCTTTTGTCTATAGTGAATAGCGCTACAATGAATATTGGTGTACAAGTATCTTATCAAGCCCTGCTTTCATAAATTTTAGGTATATTTCCTAGGGTGAAATTGCTGCCCATGCAGTAATTCTCTATGATTCATCTACAAGTTTGTTCTACTGTCTTGCCTTAGGTGCTGCTGTGATGCTGGATGTTCAGCCACCGGTATTTAAAATACCAGAAAGTTCATCAATGGTGGAAACATTTTAGTGGATCTTGCGGATTAAGAAAGACTAGCAAAGAAAACTTCCATACCTATTTCTAAAACTATTGTCTAGGAAAACCTTATGAATAACTATGGAATGCTAGAGAATGTTTCTCTAAGATTGCAAGGCAAAAAACACTGAAGACAAGATGCCTCCTCCAGTAAAGTGCACTTGAATGAAGTGGATGTATACAAGATTTTAGAACCTTGGTTTGCTGTGCGCCGTGACTCAAAATGAGAAAACACATTAATTAATAATTAGAGGGTAGAATGCACAAAATATGAATCAGTAAAAATTGGAAATGGTCAAAGATTAAGTGGAATGATTGAAGACCAGTATCCTGGGCATTAGTAAGTTGGAAGGGACTGGTATTGCCATTTTAAATTGGATAATCATACATTCTCCTTTGCCAGAATAGACAAACTGATGAGGAATCTGATGTATTCATTGTTAAATTGAACATTTTATAATCTTAAAATATAGTGCTGCTGATGAACAATTCACGTGGATATTACCGGATAATACACAAAAATCAAGCCAACAACATCTGTAGAAAGAGATGGGGTTCTATATCATTGCTCAGAATAAGATCAGGGGCCAACTGTAGAACAAATCATCAATTGCTTATTTTTAAATTCTATTTGAAGCTGAGAAAATTAAAAATAGTCGAAATAAGGCCTTGATTAAATTCTCCCTATATGTACAGACCATCTCAAAAATAGATTTGACACACTGAACACTAGTGACCAATGCTAGATGAGTTATAAAATGGCATAAAGAATACCATGAATGAAGAAAGCAAAAAGTCATTTAAAAAGATGGAAAAAAGAAATGACCAAAGTGGTCATCTTCAATGTAGAAAAGGAAAATCAAAGGAAGAAATGATGAAGTACAATAGGTGGACCACAGATCTCAGTGCGTGGCTAGGAAGACAGAGTACCAAAATAAAATATAAACAACCTCTCTCAATTGCATTCTACAAATGATTGAATCTATTTCTATAACTTTGTTCTATAAATCATGCCAGCACAGACTTCTATTGTTATTATTTCAAGGGATTGAAAAGGAGCAATCTTTTTCTTTTATTCTACATTTTAACAAAAAAAAATGTTACATGCAAAATTTGAAAAACTTTCAACAGATGATGAGCCATAATATACTAAAATTTTTTTAAAGGAACTATATAATGAGTACAATAATAAGTCTAAATCTAAGTAAATTAAAGATGAGTTGCAAAAACAGTGAAGTGAAGAATCAAGAGAAAAATCACTTAAATATTTAATTCATAGGAACAATAAATTAAAATAAAACAGTAACACCAAAAGAATTGACATTTACCCATCTCCTGTTCCCCTAAGAGAGTTCTCATATATAATTTGACTTTTCATGGCCATTTTAAACTAGTACATGAAAATTTGGAACTGTAAGGATTGATTTTGATGTTTTTTTATTATTTTAGCCTTACTATCTTTTCAGAATTATTTTATAAGACCCTGTAGAACGAATAAAATGTAGATATATTCACTTTGCGTAAGAATGTTTCAATCCCTTACAATCAAATACTACATATTTCATTAAAATTTTTAACACAGAATGAACATATTCCCTTCCTAAAATATGTTTTTGTTTCTATGTAAAGGAAAAACTTTCTTTGTCTCTTTACCAAATGATTACTCTTCTGTTCCCTCTTCCCCACTGTATTTCAAAACGAGAAAAGGATCTCACGTTGCTACCTTACCAGATCTTATGTTGCTCCCCATATCAGATCTTTTGAAATGTAGAATTGTAACTGAATTTTAACTTTATGAATATATATTTTTGACTCAATATTCACTACTGCCTTGCTTTTGTCTTTTCGTCAAATTTCATCATTTTAGACTAATTCAGCTTTAAGTCATAATGAACCAGAAAAAAATTTGTTAAATTTATAGTTATATGAGTTACACAGTGATTACACATTTGTGTTTGTACATTTGTTATTGTTGTTTGGTTTGGTTTAAAGAGATGGTTAAAAAGACAGACTAAGGCCAGTTTCAGAGAGGGAGATTCTGTTAGAATGGTGCTTAGCTGGAAAATCTGCAATCAAATTTAGGAAGCAGAAAGCTAGGAACAAGAGACTATCAGATATTGAAATTCTGCAAACTTTAATCTAATTCTGTTCCAAAAACTAAGAATAAACCCTAAGTTGGAGGGTGGCGGGGGTTGATACGGTAGAAACTAGAGCCCTTCCCCGGGATCTAGGTATGGGGCCCTGAGTTAAGGTGCTAGAAGACAGAAAGTACAAAAATAATGAACATTTAGGGAAAAATGAGAGTAGTAAAGAATATAAAAACAGACAACCAGAAGACACTATTCTTAAAGTGACCAAAATATAATTCCTTATATATGTGGTATCTTCAAAAGTTCATGAGAGGGGAAAAAAAAACGAAGAGTCCCATAGAAAGTACATTTCTATACCTTGCTGCTTGAAACTTTAACAAAATTGTGGCTGCTAAAAATAGGACCATGGCACCTACCAAATTCCAGGATATACTGATGGGCTTCATCCACATAGCGAATGAGTTGTTGGAGAAAACTATAGGCAAATCGTTTCTCAATAGAAGGTGTATCCAGTTCCAGGTCCTTGAATCCTCTGGAATGGCAAAAATAGACATGGAAAGTCATTTTTTTAAGTCAATTGTTATGACAGAGTATAATTGTCCCAGAGGTTTTCCTCAACACTGCTCTTTGAGTTCACCAGATCTTTTCTCCATCTGAGCAGCTAGTGGGTTTGAACTACCAACCTTTGGGGTAGGAGCTAAGTGTTTAACCATGGTGTCACCAGTGTTCTTTAAAAAGCCTATTGGAAAATGAAATTTTGCACAAAGAAAAATGTATAAACTTATTTAAATGTATCTGGTATTCCTGCAGTTGAAATAAAAAATGAGATTTAATTTTTAAAGGAGACTTTACATTGGATATTAGAATTGTAATTAACAACAAAATTATAGTGCCATAAAATGCCATCTTCAATGTCACGTTAGCTTAGGGATTTTGCCTAAATGATAGATAGGGATTTAATGTAAGCAGCACGAGGAACTTGCTTGTTAGATGTTAACAATTAAGAGCATGGATGTTTCTGACATGTGTATTTTAATCATACAAGGCAGAAGCTTAAAGTTAGTTTAAAGATCACTGGAGTCATCTGTGGCCTAAGAGGTGATGATATTTAAATATTCCATGTTCTAAAAATAATGTGTAACTGGAGTATATATGCTTTTACCTGGATACAGCATACCCATTGATCTGCAAGTATTTGAGAATATCTTGGGCTTTTTCCCTGTCCTTGGCTTTTTCTTTGGCGGTCAGTGTATCATACGGCACCAGTAGGGGATGATTTCCCCCTCCTAAAAGATATCAAGACAAGTACACCACATAGCAGTTAGAAAATTTAATTTAAAAGGAAAAATGGTGACATAAGAGGACCAAGATGAAGAAACATGGGTTAGAGTCAGGAAACATTGTCTCTGGATTGTATCCTTTCATTGCACTTAGTAATCTGTATATTGAGCAAACAATCTGTAACACCGGACTGCATGGCAACCTACAATATAAAGATGGTCCAGCCATTCTTGCAGAAAGGAAAGAAGACGGAAAGCACTTATGAACGAAGATAAAAGACTACAGCCTGAAGTATGGATTGCACTTCAATAATAATAATAATAATCCTCACAACTGGAGCAATAGGCAACTTCATGATAAGCACAGAAAAGATTGAAGTTGTCAGTATTTTCATCTTACTTGAATTCAAAATCAAGGCCCATAGAAGCAGCAGTCAAAAAATCAATGAGCACATTCCCTTGGGAAAATCTTCTGTAAAAAAAAAAAGCAAACGCTCTCTTACATTTTAAAGAGCAAAGCTATTCCTATGGTGTGACTAACCCACACTATAGTGTTTGCAGCACATCATATGCATGTGAAATATGGGCAATGAATAAGGAAGACTGGAGATTAGCTGCCTTTAAATTACAGTGAAGAATTTGAATATACCCAGGATTTTCACAAAAATGCACAAATTTATCTTGGAAAAAGCTTAGCTAAATGACTCTATGAACTTGAGAATTGGAAGACTTCATGTCAGATGCTTTGGATCTGCTATCAAGAGAGACCTGGCCCAGAGAATGACATTATGTTTGGTAAAAGTAGTTAAAAAAGAGAAGTCTAACAGTGAGATGGTGTGATGCAGTGTCTGTACCCAAGGGCTCAAACATAGCAACCATTGAGAGGTTGGCACCGGACCTGGGAGTATGTCCTTCTGACAGCACTAACAGAAGCAACAATATAATATGACCACAATACAGAACTTGTGAGATCCCTTAATCATAGAGCGCACAAGGCCTTACCCCTAGTGTTGGTTAATGTCCTATTAAATTCAGGAAACCTCTTCACAGGAAGTCTAGGTTTATGACTTCCTAGAGGTCATTAAAAGAAGAAAATAACTTGTAAAATCAAGTGATAATAACATCAGCAATCACTAAAAAGTATAATCTACACGTTCATTATCCATTCATACAGATTCTGAATGTAGAGTGTATAGACACTACAATATGTACAATTGGATCTAGTAAAATTATAAGGCATGTTTAAAAATTTATACTTCATTTTCTACCTCACAAGAGAGAAAATATTTGAACATGAAATTTTCATGAAACCAAGATCAAAGAGTAGTTTATACTCCTATTATTTCTGAATATGTCAATAAAAAATATACTTGGATATGTTCGACTAAAATTGTATTCTTCTTAAATATATAATTAGCATAAGATACATTTATTGGGGTGTTTTGCCATTTTAATAGGGGCTCATACAACTCTTATCAAAATCCATACATATATCCATTGTGTCAAGCACATTTGTACATATGTTGCCATCATCATTCTCAAAACACCTGCTTTCTACTTGAGCCCTTGGTATCCGCTCCTCAGTATTCCCCTCCCTCCCTGCTTTCCCCTCCCCCCTGAACCCTTGATAATTTATAAGAGCTCTAAACTATAAATGCTAAGTGAATGTCAGAAATAAAAATATGAAAATAAATATTTCATTTGATTTATAATGAAAACACAGAGACTAATGAATCAATATGAGTCCTTGAAAATCCCAAATGTCAGATTTTCCCACAAAAATAAATAGGCAAACAAAAATGCAAAGGAGAATTTTTATGTTTCACTAGAACTCGAGTGCCATCTACAGAAAGGTATTCACTACCCTGAACTTTCTGATCTTTAAGTGCACCCTACCATCACAAGTAAAAAAATGCACATTAACTTCCAAGCTAACAAAGAAAGAGTACACGATATAAAACTATCAGTTAGTCTCTTACAGGATATAAGTCAAGCTTGTTCAACAAAATTGTCAGAAGACAAAGCTAACCAGCATTTTATGACTAATGAGAAGGATTTAAGACGTTTCCAGGTTCCAGATAAAATTGAGCAGAAAAAAATTCATGACAAATAAAAGCATTTAAAAAATTTTAGAACATCTAATTTAATTGTTTTGGGACTTTCACCTATTAAGAGCTATATTATAATTGTATTATAATTAGTCAGACAAAACTATGTTAATTTGACAACTTAATTTATATTCCACAATGATTTGGAGGTCAGACAACAGTCAATTAGGGGGCAGAATGGAGTGCTGGGAGGGAAAAACAGGAAAAAAAACAACCCAAAACTTTGAAGTCAGCCAGCTGACTGGGTCCTAAATCCGTGTATGTCACTTAATAACTGACGGAAAGTGGAGAGTGACCTTGCCCCTCCCATATTCTTCTCCCCCATTTGTAACACAATTATAAATACAGTTTGTGTTAGGAGGAGCTAGGATGGAAGTAAATACAAGAAATAAATGAATATGGAGGAGGTAATTCCTAGAATACTTCCTCAAACCTACTAGCTTTGGAATGAATCCATGCTAAAGGATAAAGGGCTTGGTATTAGATCTCTCTGTGGCTTGATGACAGAGCATTACAATACAAAATACATAAAGTCAGCAAATGAAAAAGTAAAAGAATACTTGATCCTTATATATTTTAAAATAATTTAATAGGATTGTCGAAATACACTGCTAAGGAAACTACAGAAAGGTATTTCCCCCCTAATCTCCTTAACAGTGGTTGGACATGTGTTGGCTATCGAACTCTAACAACTGAACAAGTTGCAGAAGAAAGAAGTTACATTTCAGAAATGACAAGTACCTATGACTTCAAATTTGTATGTTGTTTCTAATCTTATCTTTCCTTTCTATGATTCACTTCTCTATTTTTGAGTTTCAAAAACCCGAGATCCAGTATTGCATACTTCCACGTTTCCCGGATTTGTCTACCATTGTAGTCCCACAGAGAAGTTTATGACGGGGTCCACGGACTGTGAAAACTGATCACATACTGCAAGTATGCAAGAGGAATTCAGACAGATACCAGCTGGGTGCAGAAGTATGGAGGTCTCAGTATGCCTTAAAGAAAGCCTTGAACCTAGAATACCTATATATTTGGCCTAGAAATTAAAGCAAATGTTAATTTTCTAGCAAACCTATTTATAAAAGCAGTACCCTTACTACTTAAAATTTATTCACAGTGACTAAACAAATTAAGGGTGGTGGGGAGAAATAGATTTTTTATCTCCCATGTATTCTGCTCACGTTGCAAATAGTTCTTTTAAAATTCTTACAGACAATGTCTTTTCCAGAATTTAACTAAGTATACTCTATTACATATTTTCTGGACAACAAGCTAGACAGCTAGTCAGACACTAGTAGGGCAGCGAATCAGCAAATATTTATGGAGTGATTCTACAAAAATAGACCTAACCCTGGGTCAGATTTTGTAATAAAGCAGTTTGGTATGTGTAATCTGCTGTGAAAGGAGACCAATTGTTCTCCGTAGCAATCTTCATGACTACTACTCTGCTTCTTAGTGTTTAATATCTGGTACTTAGAATTTTACAATCATGATTACAAAAGAAATATGGATACAGTACTAAACTCTAGAAGATTATATTCTGGTTGGGGGAAAGAAAATTTTACAGAAATGTTCAAAGAAAGCAAGTACACATAAAAGTTATAAACAATATGTGTTTAGATTATTGCTGAATAAAACAAAGAGGTAATCAGTATAGGACATAGTCAATTTAAAAAAATGAGGAAACATTTGAAAATGACTAAGAGAATAAGAGGTTATTTTACTATTTTAAAATACAAACAGGAAAAAAGAACTTGAAAAAGTATGTAAGAAACCTTAACAGTAATGGGGAGATCAGGAAGTGTATATAAAAGGTATGTTGATGTTTGGATGAGTGTTAGCAAAGGAAGGCTAAGTAGTTAAGAGACCAAATATATTTGAAAAGATGCACTTACATAGTAAAATGGACGAGAGAGATCTAGAAAACCTGGAACAAGGAAAGCTATACACTGTGATGTCATCAAAAAATTTTAAAGTAAAGATGCTACATACTTATGTTCCAATGGCATGCAAGTTTTTTTTTAATTATCTAATGTCAATAATGTAGTTTATTACAAAAATGCATATTAGGTTTGTAATCACTTAATAAAAACAATGAAACAGTTCATTAAACTGATATACACGCATATATATGGGGAATATTTAAGAAAATGTTCATATTATAGGTTATCTGTATTGGTTAACACTTTCCATATTTTTAATTATCTTGGGTATTCATCTTAACATATATTGTCTACATTGATATAAACAAATGTTCTATGTATAGAACTATATATAATTGGAATATAAATTGTATTAATCAATATCTAGGATCAGCATGTTAAAGTAACATCTGGAATTTATACTACTTCCCTTAAATTTGTATATATTTCTTGCATTTTTAAAAATACATCCATTTATTGAGCCTATAGTGACCAAAAGTCCTCACCAGACATGTTACAATAATGGATAAGAGGGGATGAAATAAATTTTAGGAGAATCCATCTCCATGTGTTCTCATGATTTAAAAAAACTGCCTCTAGAAGTTACAGTGATTAATGGGTAGAAGAAAATGTCACAGTGCTCAGACCAACTGTGCCATCTGTGGGATATGCCAATAATTTTATCTTTGTCCTCGGTTCCGAGAGACGACCTCTTTGCTTTTTTTTTTTTTTGTCTGCAATGGACTTTTATTTTAATTTTGAGGCAAATCATTTTAGACTTTCACTTTACTTAATTAAAAATATTGCTTAAGATGAATAGACAAAACTTTATTTAGTAAGCTAATTCCCCATAGGTAAGATGTCAAAGCAGACATCCCAAATATTTACTTTCTTTTAAAAATTCTATCTTTTTAAAAAATTATTTTATTGAGGGCTCGTACATTTCTCATCACAGTCCATACATACATCCAAT